TTTGGTAAAGACAGAGTCTTACCAGGTGGGGTGGCTCATGCCTGTAATCCCAGCACTTTGGGTGGCCGAGGCGGGCAGATCATGAGGTCAGAGATCGAGACCATCCCGGCCAACATGGTGAAACCCCTTCTCTACTAAAAATACAAAACAATTAGCCAGGTGTGGTGGTGAGTGCCTGTAATCCCAGCTACTCAGGAGGGTGAGATAGGGGAATTGCTTGAACCCGGGAGGCAGAGATTGCACCACTGCACTACAGCCTGGGTAACAGTGTGAGACTCCGTCTAAAAAGAAAAAAAAAAGAGAGAAGTTCTCTGTCACCCAGGAGGCTGTCTTAAACTCCTGGGTTCAAGCCATCCTCCTGCTACAGGCATGAGCTACTGTACCTGGCTAGAGGCTTTTTTTTTTTTTTTGATATGGAGTCTTGCTCTGTCGCCCAGGCTGGAGTGCATTGGAGCAGTCATAGATCACCGTACCCTCTGCCTCTTAGGTTCAAGGGATTCTCCTGCCTCAGCCTCCCAAGAGAGAGTCAGAGTCTTGCCCTGTCACCCAGGCTGGAGGACAATGGTGCCATCTCAGCTCACTACAACCTCTGCCTCCCTGGTTCAAGTGATTCTCCTGCCTCAGCCTCCCGAGTAGCTGAAGCTACAGGTGTGCGCCACCACGCCCAGCTAATTTTTGTATTTTTAGTGGTGACAGGGTTTCACCATCTTGGCCAGCCTGGTCTCGAACTCCTGTCTTCCAGTGATCTGCCTGTCTCAGCTTCCCAAAGTGCTGGGATTACAGACATGAGCCACCATGCCCTGCCTCTGTATCCCTTTGATCACCCCTCAACTCCAGTGTTAAAAATCTAATAAATCTGGCCAGGCGCAGTGGCTCATGCCAGTAATCCCAGCACTTTGGGAGGCCGAGGTGGATGGATCACGAGGTCAGGAGATTGAGACCATCCTGGCCAACATGATGAAACCCCATCTCTACTAAAAACACAAAAATTAGGTGGGCCTGGTGGTGTGTGCCTGTAATTCCAGTTACTTGGGAAGCTAAGGCAGGAGACTTGCTTGAACCTGGGAAGTGGAGGTTGCAGTGAGCTCAGATCATGCCACTGTACTCCAGCCTGGGCAACACAGTGAGACTCCATCTCAAAAAAAAAGTCTAATAAATCTGGCCAGGCAGGGTGGTTCATGCCTGTAATCCCAACCCCTTGGGAGGCCAAGGTGGGTGGATCACATCAGGAGTTTGAGACCAGCCTGACTAACATGCTGAAACCCAGTCCTTGCTAAAAATACAAAACAAAACAAAAGTCTAATAAATATAATAAATATGATGGCATGAGCGGTGCTCACCCATGCCAAGGCAGTCCTTTAAAAACAAAACACATTGGCCAGGCATGGTGGGTCACGCCTGTAATCCCAGCACTTTGAGAGGCCAAGGTGGGTGGATCACTTGAGGCCAGGAGTTTGAGACCAGCTTGGCCAACATGGTGAAACCCCCATCTCTTTTTAAAAAAAAATTAAAAAGTAAATTAAAAAAAAAACCAAGACACATCGTGATGGCTTCGGCAGGGCTGTGCATTAGAGCTGTGTTCGTGGCACAAAACACCTGACTTGAAGCCACCCAGATGTGCAACAACTCCATCCTGGCTGCACACAGAATCTGCCATCCATCATCCTGCAAGTCTGTTCCCGCACCTGCTTGGCAGAGCCAAGAGACTCCTGAGGCCATCTCTCTGGGGGAATGAAATACAAGTTCAAGATCCCCGATGCTGCTTTTGAGGTGAAGCTTTTGTAAAGGGAAAAAAGCATATTGAAAAAGTGCAGGAGGAAATGCCCCAGGGCTTGGCAGTTACTCTGGGGGGTGGGGGAGAATTTCAGTTCTTCCTTTAGATCTTGAAGAGGTGGGATGAGCTTGAGAGTTTATATTGGACGTTTTTTCTCTTTCCCTTGTTTGAAAAATGTTTGTTTCAGGAGCCAGGAATGGTGGTTCACATCTGTAATCCCAGCCCTTTGGGAAGTTAAAGTGGGAGGATTACTTGAGGCCAAGAGTTCAAGACCAGCCTGGGCAACATAGCAAGACCTAATTTCTACAATAAATTAATAAATAAAATTAGCCAGGCCTGGTGGTGTGAAGTTATAGTCCCAGCTACTAGGGAGGCTGAGGTGGGAGGATCCCTTGAGTCCAGAAGTTGGAGGTTGCAGTGAGCTATGATCACACCACTGCCTTCCAGCCTGTGGGACAGAGTGAGATCTTGTCACTCTCTTTTTTTTTTTTTGAGACAGAGTCTCGCTCTTTTGCCAGGTGCCAGGCTGGAGTGCAGTGGTGTGATCTTAGCTCACTGCAACCTCCACCTCCCGGCTTCAAGCAATTCTCCTGCCTCAGCCTCCTGAATAGCTGGGACTACAGGCACGAGCCACCATGCCCAGCTAATTTTTGTATTTTAAATAGAGACGTGGTTTCACTATGTTGGTCAGGACCTCTTGACCTCATGATCCGCCCACCTCAGACTTTGATCACCCCTCAGCTCCAGTGTTAAAAACTCCAAAGTGTTCCTGTGTTAGACTTAGCAAATATATGTAGAAAGAAAAAAAAAACACAAAAGCCCCAAAGTGCTGGGATTATAGGTGTGAGCCACTGCGCTGGGTCGAGATCTCCTCTTTTAAAGAAAAATTTCATTTTGACAATATGTATATTGTCAAATATAGGCCACATGCATGAGGCTCAGCTGAAATATCACTTGCAACATCACAAGAGGCAGAAGATTTGGGTCCTTCATATATAAAGAGTTCCAACAAATCAATAAGGAAAAAACTCAAAAAGAAAACCATGCAAAGAAATGAATGATTAATTCACACAAGAAGAAATACAAATGGCCACTGGATACAAGCCCACAGAATATTTGGAAAGTGAGGCTGAGAAGTGAGCTGCTGTCCTGGAGACATTGATTAATGACTGACTGGGGCCAGGTGCAGTGGCTCCTGCCTGTTATCCCAGCACTTTGGGAGGCCAAGGTGGGTGGATCACTTGAGGCCGAGAGTTTGAAATCAGCCTATCCAACATGGCGAAACCCTCTCTCTACTAAAATTAAAAAATTATCCAGGCATGGTAGTTGGCACCTGTAATCTCACCTACTCAGAAGGCTGAGGTAGGAGAATCGTTTGAACCCAGGAAGCAGAGGCTGCACTGAGCCAAGATTGTGCCACTGCACTCCAGCCTGGGCAACAGAGTGAGACTCCATCTCAAAAAGCAAAAAGACTGCCAGGGTTCTCAGCATCCTCCTCATCTTCACGCTCTAAGATGATGGTTTCTGCCTGTGTGTATTTTATGTTTTTGGTTTGCTTTGCAGATGGAGCCTCCCTCTGTTGCCCACATGCTGGAGTGCACTAGCATGATCTCAGCTCACTGCACTGAGATTTGAACCCTCCTGGGTTCAAATGATTATCTGCCTCCGCTTCCCTAGTAGCTGGGATTACAGGTGCCCGATACCATGCCCAGCTAATTTTTGTATTTTTAGTAGAGATGGGTTTCACCATGCTTGTCAGGCTGGTCTTGAACTTCCAACCTTGGGCGGTGGCTGAGGCTGAGGAAGCAGGAGAATCACTTGAGACCAGAAGGCGGAGGTTGCAGTGAGCTGAGATCACGCCACTCAACTCCAGCCTGAGCAAAAGAGTAAAATTGGTCTCAAAAAAAAAAAAAAGAGGTAGGGTCTGGCTCTGTTGCCCAGGCTGCTGGAGCACAGTGGCACGATCATGGCTCACTGCAGCCTCAAACTCCTGGGATCAAGCCATCCTCCTTTCTCAGCCTCCCAAGTAGCTGGGACTACAGGCACACCCCACCCCACTAACTTCATTTTTTGTAGAGATGGGATCTCGCTGTTGCCCAGTGAGGTCTCCAACTCCTGGGCTCAAGCCAGCCTCCTGCCTTGGCCTCCCAAAGTGTTGAGATTACAGGCATGAGCCACCATGCCGGGCCCCTTTTTAAAATGAAAAGAACATTTAATTCGTCACCTCGCTGAAGATGCTGCATGACTAAGATTGCAGAACCGCAGGATGGGAGTGGGTGGACTTCCACCGGGTACCCCCTCCTCCTGCTGGAGTATCAGCACTTTTTGGGTGTTTCTCTGGAGGTGGGGAGGCCTCTTACTGTCCCGGGGTCTGCTGGGGGAAACCCCTGGTGTTATGGGGAGGCCCCACCAGGTTGATCCTGAGCATGAGCTCAGGACAAGGAGCACTGCTGAGCTAGTCCACTGTGGTTATTATTGCACAGCTGTGTGAACTCTCATCTGTCAAAGGAGTTAGTTCCATCTGTCCAGAGGACACAACAGGATGAGGCCCGCGAGGCTTTTAGGGGCCCATGAAAATGTCTTCCTGTCTTCCTTCCCTTCTCCCTTCCTTCCTTCCTTTGTCTCTTCCTCCTCCTTTCCTCCTCCCTCCTCCTTTCCTCCCTCCCTCCCTCCTTTCCCCCTCCACTCCCCCCTCCCTCCCTCCTTTTCCCTCTACCCCTCCCTCCCCCTCCTTTCCTCCCTCCTCCCTCTCTCCCTTCCTTCTTTCCTCCCTTCTCCCTCCCTTCCTTCCTTTCTCCTTCCCTTGCTGCCTTCCTTCTTCCTTCCTTTTTCCTCCCCTCCCCCTCCTTTTTCCTCCCCTCCCCCTCCTTCCTTTCCCTCTTTCTTTTTCTTTCTCTCCCTTCCCTTCCCTGCCCTCCCTCTCCCCATCCCTCCCTTCTCTCCTTCCTTCTCTTTCCCCCTTCCTCCCTTTTTTATTTTTATTATTTATTTATTTATTATTTTTTGAGACAGAGTTTTGCTCTTGTTACCCAGGCTGGAGTGCAATGGCACAATCTCGGCTCACCGCAACCTCCGCCTCCTGGGTTCAGGCAATTCTCCTGCCTCAGCCTCCTGAGTAGCTGGGATTACAGGCACGCGCCACCATGCCCAGCTAATTTTTTGTATTTTTAGTAGAGATGGGTTTCACCATGTTGACCAGGATGGTCTCAATCTCTTGACCTCATGATCCATCCTCCTCGGCCTCCCAAAGTGCTGGGATTACAAGCATGAGCCATTGGGCCAGCCTCTCCCTTTCTTTCTTTCTTTTCTTTTCTTTTTTTTTCACATCTAGAGATTTGGACCTTTCTTTTTCTTTTTCATTTGTTGTTAAAGAGTCTTGCTCTGTCGCCCAGGCTGGAGTGCAGTGGTGTGATCTCGGCTGCCTCCCAGGTTCAAGTGATTCTTCTGCCTCAGCCTCCCGAGTGCCACCATGTCTGGCTAATTGCTGTATTTTTAGTAGAGACAGGGTTTCACCATGTTGGTCGGGGTCCTTCCAGGCAGTCCTCTTTGCTGACACCCACATCCCTGGCTCTTGGTTCCAGGCCCACGTAGTTCCCTGCTTTGATGCATCCAAGGTCAAGTGCTCAGGCCCTGGGCCAGGGAAGGCCACCGCTGGGGAGGTGGGCCAATTCCAAGTGGACTGCTCCAGCGTGGGCAGTGCAGGGCTGACCATTGAGATCTGCTCAGAGGTGGGGCTGCCAGCTGAGGTGTACATCCAGGACCATGGCGATGGCATGCACACCATCACACACATTCCCCTCTACCCCAGGGCCTACACTGTCACCATCAAATATGGCGGCCAGCCTGTGCCCAATTTCCCCAGCAAGCTGCAGGTGGAGCCTGCATGGACACTTCAGCATCCAGTGCTATGGGCCTGGGATTGAGGGCCAGGGTGAGTGGCCCTGCTGTGCAGTATGTGGCAGTGGGGGCACAGGGACCAGAGCCCCAAGCCTCCTCCCTGTGTTCCTTTGCAGGCATCTTCCAAGAGGCCACCACTGAGTTCAGTGTGGACGCCTGGGCCCTCACATAGACTGGAGGGCCACACGTCAAGGCCCGTGTGCCCAACCCCTCAGGCAACCTGACAGAGACCTACATGCAGGACTGTGGCGACGGCACCTACAAAGTGGAGTACAGCCCTCATGAGGAGGGTCCATGCTGGGGCTCCTGCAGGCCAGTGGGCGGGGGTGGGTAGCACAGCCTGGACTCCTCCTGACCCGGCACTACTCCAGGACTGCACTCCATGGACGTGACCTACGATGGCAGCCCTGTGCCCAGCAGCCCCTTCCAGGTGCCCATGACCGAGGGCTGAGACCCCTCCCGGGTGTGTGTCCACGGGCCAGCCATCCAAAGTGGCACCACCAACAAGCCCAACAAGTTCACCGTGGAGACTAGGTGAGGGGGCCCCGAGTGCCCATGCGGCTGATGGGCCTGGGAACCCCAGGAATGAGTGGCTGTCTCTTTGGACCAGGGGAGCTGGCATGGGAGGCCTGGGCCTGGCTGTAGAGGGCCCCTCTGAGGCCAAGATGTCCTGCATGGACAACAAGGACGGCAGCTGCTCAGTTGAGTACATCCCCTATGAGCCGGGCACCTACAGCCTCAACATCACCTATGGTGGCCATCAAGTACCAGGTGAGGAGCGGCCAGCGCAGGGCTGGAACTATCTGCTTGCCCCACCCTGTCTCATATAGCCACCATCCCTTTGACCCACCCCTCAAGCAGTCCTTTCAAGGTCCCTGTGCATGATGTGACAGATGCATCCAAGGTCAAGTGCTCTGGACCTGGCCTGAGTCCTGGCATGGTTCATGCCAACCTTCCTCAGTCCTTCCAGGTAGACACAAGCAAGGCTGGTGTGGCCCTGATGCAGGTCAAAGTGCAAGGGCCCAAAGGTGAGTGTTCACATGCCTGGAGCCAGGAGTCTGGAAGGAGACTGCTAGTGTGCAGGTGTTTATGGAAGAGCCTCACGTTACAGTGCACCCAGGAGGGGGACTGGGAGGAGGTAGAACAGATAGGACTTTGTCACTGAGCAGATGTGGCAGGAAGGCACACAGGTAAGGGTCCCAGCTGGCACCCAGATGGGCATCTTTTGTGCCAGAGAGGGTCAGGGCCATTCCCAGGGTTGGGCTGATGAGGATGAAGCAAGGTCTAGGCCTGGGGCTGAGTCCTGGCCATTGAGAGGTGGGGTAGGAGTGGAGGCCCAGGATATGAGCTGAGGCTGTGTCCCTGGGCCTGGGGCCAGGCCTGGTGGAGCCAGTGGATGTGGTGGACAATGCTGATGGCACCCATACCATCAATTACTTGCCCAGCTGAGAAGGGCCCTACAGCATCTCAGTACTGTATGGAAACGAAGAGGTACCCTGGAGGTAAGAGGCAGGGCCCACTGCCTGAGGGGAGGTCCAGGCCAGATGCCTAGAGCCTATCTAACTGCTCACAACACCCATGCCCACAACCCCTTCAAGGTCAAGGTGCTGCCTAGTCATGATGCCAGCAAGGTGAAGGCCAGTGGCCCTGGGCTCAACACTACTGGTGTGGTGGCCAGCCTGTCCATGGAGTTCACCATCGATGCAAAGGATGCCAGGGAGGGCCTGCTGGCTGTCCAGATCACGGTGAGCTCCAGGCACAGGCAGGGGAGGCAAGGGGTCTGGGCCTGGGTGGCTGGAGTGTGGGCTGCCGGTGGCGCAGGCTAGCATCTGGTCTTCCTGGGGCACTGCACCAAGGAGGGCAGGGAAGGACAGGGCCACAGCCTTTGGCTTGCTAAGGTTGTGACCAACTTAGGATGGTGGTGATAGGCCTGGGCTCCCCCAGACACGCACTTGCTCACTGTTGACTTTGAGCACATTACCAAAGCCTTTCATGCCTCAGTTTCCCTACATGTAACATTCTCATGGGGCAGGGAGAAGCCTGAGATCACCTAAGTGTGCTCCTCCTAGTGCTGGACAGGACCTGGGGCTGAGGATGGGTGCCAGCCTCCCTGGCCGTGCCTGTTGTCATGTGGGGGGTGTTGGACGTTTTAGTCTCCCTTCTGGACTCTGCCTGTAGGGAAATAAAGGGCAAAGCCAGATGCCAGCAGCCCTTTTGGGCCATAGCAGTTGAGAGACCTGAGGCCCAGAGGCTATCCCTGTAGCAGCGGCGCTGGCCACTCTGGGAGGCCAACTGTCTCCCCTGCCTCTGCTACACAGGACCCTGAGGGCTAGCCAAAGAAGACACACATCCAAGATAACCATGATGGCAAGCACACAGCGGCCTATGTGCCAGACATGATGGGTCACTACACCAGCCTCATCAAGTATGGTGGTAATGAGATCCCCTTCTCCCCATACAGCATTCGTGCCGTGCCCACCGGGGACACAAGCAAGTGCACAGTCACAGGTGAGCCAGTCTGCCGTTGGCTGCCGCTGTGCTCAGCACGGGGCTTGGGTTGTGCCTGTGTGTAAGGGCTGGCTGCTTGGGGGCGGCATGTGGGAGTGGGGGCCGCCCCCTTGAGTGACTCACCTGACCTTTCTCCTTGCTCTCTGCCCTCTCACCTCAGTGTCAATTGGAGGTCATGGGCTAGGTAAGCTGCTTGCTGGGGCCACTCCCAATGCCCCTCCTGTCCAGAGGGGCAGCTTCCTTTCCTCTTGGGGCCAGTTCCCAGGACAGTTCCAGATGCAGCTCTAGGCAGGGATAGAGTGGGGGTGGGGGGGCACAGAAGATGAGGCCATGGGTTGGAGGGTGAGGGCCCAGGGAGGCTTCCAGAGCTGAGCATGATCTCTCCAGCCCTCCCCTCTCTGGACCTCTATTTCCCCATCTGAGAACTCGGGTTGCAGCTGAGAGCTTTGGGGTGAGGTGCATCCTGAGAGGCACCCCACTGGGGACTTTGGGGTCTCGAAATCTTGGCACCCAGGGAAGCACAAGGGTTCCTGCATGGGCTGAGGGAACAAGGCATCTCCCCGACTCAATGGGGGCCCCAGCCCTGGCCAGATCCACAGACTCCCATCCCCATCTTCCAGGGGCCTCTGCATCCTGGGCTGGGGAGGTGCATGAGCAGGTGGGGCTGGCTGGTAGTGCAATAGCACCAGTGTTGACTGCCTGAGCAGCCAGCATGGCGGGGCCCAGCCCAGCCTCAGAGCCCCGAAGTGCATTCTGTGGCCCGTCTCCCTCCTTCCCCCTCCCTGATTTCCCAGAAATTATTCAGATGTTATTCAGACATTCAACAGGGACACCCAGGGATGCTGACAAGAGTCTGTAGGCCTGGCACTTGGGCAAGGTGGCCAAGGAGAGGGTTAGAGGGTGGCTAGAGTTTTGTGGCAGGAGGTGGCTTTATAGAGCAGGAATCTGAGGTGACAGGCGTGTATGCACAGGGCAGGGGAGGCTGAGGGTTGCTGATGGAAGGGCCTTGAGGGCCAGGGGGTGGGAGCAAGACTCAGTAGCCTCAGTTTCCCTGGCTATTGTGTGCAGAAGGGAGACAGGGAGCCCAGCGAGGGCTGAAGTTGCTCTCAGGCAAGCCAGAGGGCTGGCTTGGTGTCCATGGGGCTTCAGTGAGCCCCAGATTAGGAGGCATAGTTTGAGGATGGAATGGCTGAGACCTGTGGCTGGGCTGGGAAAGCAGGGAGAGTCGGGTACCCATGAGGTTGGGGTGCAAGTCATTAGCTAGATGGCATGGGGTGGGCATGAAGGAAGCCTCCCAGGGCAGCATGCATAGCAGGCAGCCAGGTCTGGAGCTCGGGAGAGGCGCCTGGCCACAGCAGGCCAGCATGGGGCCTAGTGCAACAGGAGCCATTGGCTGACAATGGGACTTGGTGGCAGGGCCCCTCAAACTTGGCCCTCAAGTGGATTTCGTGCTCCTGGCTGCTTCCCTGGCAGGAGGCCAGGTTGCGGGGCCATCTCACTGCCAGGCCTCTTAGGCCTCACAGCCCCCATGACTCCACGGCAGAGCCCCAAATCATAACATCACTGTCCCTCCCCTTTCCTTGGGCACTCTGGGGCCCAGGAGCCTGCTCAGCTGCTGTGCCCTCACCACCCAGCAGTGGTGCCTGCAGCTTGGGCCTCCTGTCCCCTATCTCCCTGGGTGCTGCCCCCGCTTTGCCAAGTCTGCTGCGCTGCTCGGGTGCTAAGCCCGCTGTCTCCCGCTTCCCGGCTCCCACTCCTGCCTGGACTGGGCTGCTTTTCACCACGAGCCTTCTCAGTTGTCAGGCAACTTCGGTTTCATCTTCAGGCCTGGGGGTGTGGGGAGGCAAGTGTCACGTCACCCCATGCTGCAGCAGGACTCTGCCTCACCGCGTTCACACACAGCAATGGGGGCCGGGGCCAGGCCACAGGGGCACAGGCAGCCGTGTGTCCAGCCAGATGCTGGCATTCAGCAGTGTGGGCCGTGGTACTGGGTGAAGCTGAGTAGGCAAGAGAGTGGCTGGGTGAGCTGCGAACACTTAGGCTGGAGTGGGCCCTACCTTTTCCTCCCAGGCACCTGGGTGCTGCTGTCAGGCTCTCCCACGTGGGTGCTTGAGGTGGTCAGAAGAACCCTTCCTGCCTTCTGAGAAACCACTTGTCATCCCAGCTTGGAGGGGCTGGGTGGGCTGGGGTGGGACGGGAGGCCTAGTGGCCTGGCTATGCTTGGTGGTGGCAGTGAGAGGCCTGTGTGGGCGGCAGGCAGATGGGAGCAACCTGAACCCCAGCTCATACTCTGGCCCCCCCTTCAGGGTCCCACCCTGCCCACCAGGTGCTGGCATTGGCCCCACCATCCAGATTGGGGAAGAAACGGTGATCACTGTGGACACAAGGCAGCAGGCAAAGGCAAAGTGACCTGCACCATGTGCACGCCTGATGGCTCAGAGGTAGATGTGGACGTGGTGGAAAATGAGGACAGCACTTTCAACATCTTCTACACAGGCCCCCAGCTAGGCAAATACATTATCTGCGTGCACTTTGGTGGCAAGCATGTGCCCAACAGCCCCTTCCAAGTGACGGTGAGGAGAGTAGATCAGGAGGGGCATCTGGCAGGTCCTGGTCTATCCCCTTGGGGACTCTCTGTGACAACAGATTCTACAGCTCTGTGCTTTTCCCTGCAGGCTCTGGCTGGGGACCAGCCCTTGGTGCAGCCCCCACTACGGTCTCAGCAGCTGGCCCCACAGTACACCTACACCCAGGGTGGCCAGCAGACTTAGATACGGCCTGGCCAGCTAGGGACACTGGGGCTGGCCAGCTGGGTGTTCTGTGAGGTCCTATCATACCAGGTGTGAAGAGGGGCCCCAGATACTCCCACTGCCCCTCACCTAGACCCTGTGTCTCCACTGCAGACCCCAAAGAGGCCCCTGGTGGGTGTCAATGGGCTGGATGTGACCAGCCTGAGGCCATTTGACCTTGTCATCCCTTTCACCAAGAAGGTTGAGATCACAGGTGAGTGGGGTCTGGAAGAAGCCCTGGGAGCCAAGGAGGCCAGGTTATGCCGACAAGCTGCCCTAACCTCAGCCCTGCTGCCCCACAGGGGAGATTCGGATGCCCTCAGGCAAGGTGGCACAGCCCGCCATCACTGACAACAAAGACGGCACTATGACCGTGTGGTATGCACCCAGCAAGGCCGGCCTGCATGAGATGGACATCCGTTATGACAACATGCACATCCCAGGTGGGCCTGCCCTGCCTCTGACCACTGCTCTGTCACCACTTCACAGAGAGATGGGGCTGGGGGATGCACAAGGCTGCCATTCCACAAGGCCCCTCTTCCTGCCTCAGGAAGCCCCTTGCAGTTCTATGTGGATTGTGTCAACTGTGGCCATGTCACTGCCTATGGGCCTGGCCTCACCCACGGAGTGAACAAGCCCACTACCTTCACTGTCAACACCAAGGATGCAGGAGAGGGTGAGCAGTAGCTCTGTGCCTGGGATGCCCTCACCAGGTTAAGAGCTGGACTCAGGAGACACTCCCAAATGGGACTCCCCACCCTGCTGCCCTGGCCTCTACCTGGCTGTTGGAGAACTGGTGTGTCCCCTGCACAGTTCCCAGGGTTACCCATGGCTCTCTCCAGAGGGCCTGTCTGGCCATTGAGGGCCTGTCCAAAGCAGAAATCAGCTGCACTGACAACCAGGATGGGACGTGCAGTGTCTCCTACCTGCCTATTCTGCTGGGTGACTACAGTATCCTCATCAAGTACAATGAACAGCACATCCCAGGCAGCCCCTTCACTGCCCGGGTCACAGGTGGGTGGCATTGGGAGCAGTGACAAACAGGTGGCAGGGTGGGCATGGTCTCCCATGGCTGGACACAGTGATGGCTGCCCTGATCCATGCCAGGTGACGACTCCATGTGGATGTCCCACCTAAAGGTGGGCTCTGCTGCCGACATCCCCATCAACATCTCAGAAACTGACCTCAGCCTGCTGATGGCCACCGTGGTCCCGCCCCCAGGATGGGAGGAGCCCTGTTTGCTGAAGCAACTGTGTAATGGCCATATTGGTAAGTGGCTGAGGGGGTCCAGCAGTTTCAGAAAGGAGGCAGTCTGTGGGGACCCACGCCTTCCCTGACTGACAGCCATTCCCTGTGCCTAGGGATTTTATTTGTGCCCAAGGAGACAGGGGAGCACCTGGTGCACGTGAAGAAAAATGGCCAACATGTGGCCAGCAGCCCCATCCCGGTGGTGATCAGCCAGTCAGAAATTGGGGTGCCAGCCACGTTCAGGTCTCTGGCCAGGGCCTCCATGAAGGCCACACGTTTGAGCCTGTGGAGTTTATCACTGATACCCGAGATGCAGGTAGGCAGTTGATGCCTGCCAGTTGGGGCAGGAACACTGTACATGGCACCCAAGCTCAGGGGTCTCCATTCCTCAGGCTTTGGTGGGCTCAGCCTGTCCATTGAGGGCCCCAGCAAGGTGGACATCAACACAGAGGACCTGGAGGAAGGGACATGCAGGGTCACCTACTGCCCCACAGAGCCTGGCAACTACATCACCATTGTTCGCTGACCAGCACGTGCCCAGTGAGTGCAGCAGTGCCTTGGCAGCACCCCTCACCACACCAGGGCCCAGAGGCAGTGTGTGACTGGAGGGCATGGGCCATGCTTTTTTCCTACAGGCAGCCCCTTCTCTGTGAAGGTGACAGGCGAGGGCCAGGTGAAAGAGAGCATCACGTGCAGGTGTCAGGCTCCTTCAGTGGCCAACATTGGCAGTCATTGTGACCTCAGCCTGAAGATCCCTGGTAGGGGTTGTGGGGAGCCTGGGGCTCAGGCAGCCCCAAGAGGAGGGGTGGAGCCCAGGGCTGCTGCTCACCAGCCTGTCACCACCCTGCAGAAATCAGCATCCAGGATATGACAGCCCAGGTGACCAGCCCATCAGGCAAGAGCCATGAGGCGAGATCCTGGGAGAACCACACCGACTATATCCACTTTGTTCCTGCCGAGATGGGCACACATACAGTCAGCATCAAGTACAAGGGCCAGCACGTGCCTGGGAGCCCCTTCCAATTCACTGTGGGGCCCCTAGGGGAAGGGGGAGCACACAAGGTCCAAGCTGGGGGCCCTGGCCTGGAGAGGGCTAAAGCTGGAGTGCCAGGTAGGCCTGCTCACTGCCGAGCATTTGCTCTCCTGCATTGGCAGGGATGGGGCTGGGGGTGGAAGAAAGAGCTGGCAGGCATGCCTACCTTGGCTATGCCTGGAGGGGGCCAACGCTGGTGGAGCAGCCTTCAGTGAGGACACACTTCTCAGATTCAGTATCTGGACCCAGGAAGCTGGTGCTGGAGGCCTGGCCATTGCTGTCGAGGACCCCAGCAAGGCTGAGATCTATTTCGAGGACCGCAAGGATGGCTCTTGCAGTGTGGCTTATGTGGTCCAGGAGCCAGGTACTGGGAACTGGCTGGACGAGGTGGGGTTGGAGGAGTTGGGGCCTGGGGGTGGGCACTGGACCCAGGGGTTGTACAGATAGCCCTGCCTGGCCTCCACCCTTCACCTGGAGGTTCCAGGGCCACCCAGGCTGCTAAGCTGGTCTTACGCTCTTTCCTTGCCCAGGTGACTACAAAATCTGTCAAGTTCAACAAGGATCACATCCCTGACAGCCCCTTCGTGGTGCCTGTGGCCTCTCCATCTGGCGACGCCTGCCGCCTCAGTTTCTAGCCTTCAGGTAAGGCACCGAGAGAAACCGCCCACCTGGGGCTCCTGGGCCTGGACAGACCAGAGCCACCACAGAGCAGACCTAGGCCCTATATCAAGTGATGCCCCTGGCCCAGCTCTGGGTTCCAGGCCTCTGCTCTGGCCGGGTGCAGCCCACACTTGGGGTCAGCAGGAAATATCCTGCCCACCAAGTGGAGTTTTTCTCATGTCTCAGGTCTAAAGGCTTTGAACAGAATGTACTGCTTCTGTAAGCAGCCAAGGCCATTAGGAAGGCCTCCTGCCTGCAGTACTCTCTCCACAGGGACAGACCCAGAGTCCAGCCTCAGTGCTGCCTGACCCTTTAGCTGCAACCACAGGACTTGCAGATAGGCCCCGGGCAACCTTGGGGGTAGGAGGAGCCCAGTGGGCTTTGTTTCACAGCCTAGTCCTACCCTTCCCAGCTGCATGACCTGAAGCAAGTTCCTGCCTGTCTCTGAGCCTGTTAACACAGACATGGTGTCCACTGTAAAGTTTAGGAGGCAGCAAGGCCTGCCTGTGGCTTGTGTAAGGTTTCTGTCCCAATGATCCCTGACAGTGGGTGGCTTGAGTGTCTAAAGCTTCCAGCCTCAGGAAGTCTGCTGTAGGGTGCAGGTGTCCAGCATGGCACCAGAAGAAACAGTGGGCCCCACTGAACTGCTGGGCTCACTGATGGGCCGGCAAAATGGGAAGGGTGAGGGTTGAGGCTGTTCCTCACAGATACCATTTGCTGGTTTGAGGAGGGGCCCCAGGCCCACAGCATGGCTCTCTGCTCCTCAGATAAGTATGCTGTGTGCTTTATCCCTCAGGAGAATGGTGTTTACCAGATTGATGTCAAGTTCAATGGCACCCACATCCCTGGAAGCCCCTTCAAGATCCGAGTTGGGGAGCCTGGGCATGGAGGGGACCTGGGCTTGGTGTCTGCCTATGGAGCAGGCCTGGAAGGTGGTGTCACAGGTGAGTCTGTGGACCCTGCCTCCAAGCTCTGGGCGATAACAGGAGGCATCCGGAGGTGACAAGCCTGTACTAGGTGGCCAGGGACAGGGAGGCAGGCCAGTCTGGCTCTGCCTGACCTCTGTGCTCCCAGGGAGCCCAGCTGAGTTCATCATGAACACAAGCAATGCAGGAGCTGGTGCCCTGTCGGTGACCATTGACGGCCCCTCCAAGGTGAAGATGGATTGCCAGAAGTGCCCTGAGGGCTACCGTGTCACCTATACCCCTATGGCACCTGGCAGCTACCTCATCTCCATCAAGTATGGCAGCCCCTACCCTTCAAAGCCAAAGTCACAGGTGAGCCTGGGGCCAAGCTGTTGGCACCTGCCCAATGCCTGGCACTGTGGCCACCTCTTAGCCCCACCCTGTCCTGCAGCCCATCCCAGGTGCCCTGGGCCCGCTGCTGAACACCGCTCAACTGTGCCCCTGCCATGGACTCCCACACCAACCTGTGTCTCTGACTGAAGACTGCACCAAACACATCCCAAGCCATCCTGGCTCCTGGTGCATCTGCGTGCTGTTTGGACACCCTCACTACAGGCCACAAAGCTGCCTGCTCCCTGGGCCAAAGGCTGCAGGTGGCTTTGGCCCTTGTTCAAACCCCTGACAAGGATATCACCATCTCAGCATCTGCAGACAAGGGCCAGGAGCTAAGGCTCTCAGGGAAAGGCTCAGCTTTCATTCCAGGCCCTCCCGCAGCTCCACAGCATCTCACACAAAGCCCTAGGGGTCCCCATAACCTCAGAGCACACAGCCCAAGGCCAGGCACATGAGCGAGGGGAAGGAGAGGACCAGGCCATAACCTGTAGCAATCCCAGGCCTCCTGAGAGCTCAGCACCCTATGTGCACTCCTTAATCCCTGATGAGGGGGCAGAGTAGAAAGGGCAGCAGCAGCAGCTCAGGCAGAATCGTTACTTTTATTTCCAATTGAGGCTGGGCTGCTGGCCCCAGGCTCAGGGCATCCACTCACCTGGAGACACGAGCAAGCAAGACATAGAAAGGGTTAGTCCCAACCCCAGCCCCGGACACTCACTCTACTGCTCCCACTGGGCCCAACGGCATAGAGGCAAAGGGGCCAAGCATGCTCTGGAAGCCTCTAGAAGCCACCAGCTGAATGGGGGTGGGAGACAGCAGAGCCAGGCCCAGAAAGATCCAGTGCCAGTGGGCAGGATGACAGGTCCCCCTGAGGCCCTGACCTGTCGGCTCAGCCCATGGTGTGCCCAGGACACTGAACCTCTGGGGTGCCCCCTCCTGCCCTGAGTCACCTGGAGTCTCCTGTCCCCTCCCTGTGGTGGCTCCATCGCATCCTCTCCCAAGCCCATGCCTGGCAGGGCCACCGGGAGAACCGCCCTGGGGCTGGGCTAAGTGAACCAGGGGTGCCCATCTCCCAACCCACTGGATGATACCCAGGCTGGAGGGACACATGTGGGGAGGCAAGGGCGGAAGATAAACTGGGGGCATCCAGGCTCCTGGGGCCTGCCCTGGCGGGAGGTCACAGGCCTCATGGGGCAGTGAGCTGGAGGCCACCTAGGCAAGCAGGCAGCAGGGAAAGAGATAGGCATGGTCCTGGCCAGGGGCCTCCCCGGGGAGGGTGGACAAGTAGGAGCAAAAACAAGAGCATGGGCCCCCACCCTGCTGGGGCTTATGGCCTGCGGACCCAGCCACACTGAGGAGACCCAGGAGGACCCACCAGGCTACTAGGAGGACATGAAGGGTGCACAGGCCCCCAGTCTGGAAGATGTGTCTGGACTGAGTCTGAGGGCAGGCAGTGGGGTAGCCCAGCTGACCTTCCCTCGCCCCAGCCACACCCCTGGCACCCCAACCTTCCCTTCTGCCTTCTGACAGCCCCATCCCCACCATCCCAGGAAACTGGGAGGGAGACTGGAGAGGAAAGGGAAGCAACAGCCCCTCAGAGTGGGGCTCCCTGAAATCTACCACCAGGGACTGAATCCAGAACTCAGACACCGCTGGGAACCCTGGCCAGGAGTCCCTCTGGGTTCCAGTGTGGTCCCCAGCACATGGAGGCCTGGGCTTCACTCCAGGGCTCTGGGCTCCTCCGGGCGGACCTGGGAATCTGCCTGAGCAGCTTAGGGGACTGGCCCAGCACAGGGAGGGGCTCAGGCTGGAAACCAAGCAGACAGGGTACCCCCCGACCTAGGGACGAGGAGGACAGGAAGCAGGCAACTATGGGAAGACCCCCCGCCACCACCCACCCCCAACTCGGCACACAAAGGCCAGAGAGGCCCCCAGGCATCACTGTGGGGGTGTTTGCCAACACCTGCAGAGGGGCCAGGTGTCCTGGGCACAGAGAAAGCTTGCAGGACCCAGCTGAGGCTAGGACAGCAGCAGATGCTGGCCAGGAGGTGACCAACCAGGGCCCCAAGCTGCATGGGGGGCAGGCCCAAGGCAGGATCTCTCTGAAAAGGCACTGTACCCAGCCAGGGCTCCCAGAGACACAGGTGGTGGGGCCGAGTGCCCCTCACCCTGTGCCTGGACCCCAACAAAGGGCAAGCATGTATCCTCCTCAGACACAGTGTCCAGGGCAGGGCACTCCCAAACGAGACACCCCCTAGGCCAGAGGCCGGAGGTCTGGGGAGGCCCCCAAGAGGCAAGGCAGCAGCCAAGAGGAGCGCAGTCCCTGGGCCCACTCTCCAACTGCAACCAGGGCCCAGTCCCCGAAGGCACCAGCTCCCCTGGGGGCAGGACCTTGATCCAGAGCAGCAGTGGAGGCCCCCCAACAGGGGACGGCTGGAGAGGCCCTGGGCTCATGAGCCAGGGAGCAGTGGCTCTGTGCCCAGAAGCCCCTGGGTCCTGCCTGGGCTACTGGTAGCTGCCATGGCCCAAGGGGTCCAGAGTCCCCCAGGGTGCTTGGGGGCAGCTCCTTTGGGACCCTCAATGGAGCCAGTAAGTCCAGGAGGGCGCCAATCTGTCCAGGTGGGTGCACGGACTGGGTCTGCTGTTGTGACCGTGCCCATCTGCAAAACAGGCTGCTGGAAGAGTATTCCCTAAGTGAGGGCGCTGGGCAGCCGGGGGAGGGAGGATGCAGTCCCCATCCAGGCCCCCAAGGCCTCTGCAGCAGGGAGAGTCGGCCCTCCTCACTGTTCCTTCCCGGGGCACCAGGCCGGCGCCTCAGCTCAGGGGAGAGAGGGGTCACAGAGGACAGCCAGCAGGCAAATGGCCCAGGACCATGGGGGTTCAGGGGGCCTGACTGTGTCCTGAGGCGCCCCAAGACCCTCTATCCAACATCCCTGGGGGAGGGGCTGTCCCCACCTACCAGAAACACATTCCTCAGGGAAGGCCCGGCTGCCTGTTCTCCTCCAGTTCAAGGAAAGCCAGGTGGCTTTGGAAAGGGCCAGGAGCTGTCACCAAGGGCCCCCGTATTGCCCAGAGGTGATGGTGGCCAACAGGAAAAGCACTCGCTGCCTTCACAGAACCTCGGTGACAAATTCAGAGCCACCGAGAGAGTGAGAGCATCATCAGGAAGTCACCTGCCAGTCACAGGGGGAAGGATGGGGCGCATCTCCAGGGAAATGAGATGCCAAGGTCCTCCCAGGGCCCCTTCCGGAACCCACCGAGCCCTCCACATCCCACCCCCAAGGCCAGGGGCTGCCCCCACCCCCCAGCCCAGGATCTGGCAACCCTACACGTCACAGAAAAAAGGAGCCGCTCTGCCTTCACCATGGCAACATGGCACACCCCTCCCTGCCCCAGCCCCTCCCCTTCAGGGCTGCATGGGGGAAGGAAAGGCCTCCTCTGTCTGCAGAGCGAGGATGCCCCACCTGGAGCAGAGAGGGGGTGGGGGGCAGGAATGAGCCCCTGGGGGGGAGGGCATTGGAGGTACGGGGCACATCCTGCCACCCAGGCTGGCGTGGGGCACTTACACCATGCAGAAGGAGCTGCGGTGACCAGAACGGGCCTCCCACTGGCTCCTGGTGATGTAGGACCGGGACTCCTGGACCAGGGCTGGAAAGACTTCCATGAAGGGCCAGAGAGCACATAGCACAGACCCTGTGGGACACACGGGATATCTGTGGCAGGGTCTCCTTTCTTGGGGTTCTATGTGATGGGTGTTGCAACTCTTTCAGGATGTCAAAACACGCTCCGCCCTCAGAAATGCAGGCCCTGGCCAGTGTCAGCCCCAGGAGGTGGCCTGCTGCTCCTGCTGACACCAAGGACACGCTCTTGAGGTGGCCCTCCCTCTTGAGGCCTCCAGCAGCCAACACAGGTCTACACGTGCAAGGGCGCTTCTGACTCACAGCACGCAGGAACAGCCTCCACCCTGAACCTAGCACCCTCTCCAGCACACTCCAGGGTGGACCTGTGAGACCACTGAAAACCAGAGGAGAGGTGAGGTGAGTCACTTAGGATACCAGGTCGTACACAGACTGTGGCCAGGTCTGGGGCACCCTCTCCTGCTGGTTTGATTGGATTGCAGGTCTGCAGGAAGTCCGGCAGCCCTATGGGGAGGCGGGGGGGGGGGGGGGGTTGGAGGAAGGAACTGAGGCCTCCTGCCACAGCCTCTTCACTCAGTCAGATAGGATGGATGGGCCCCAGTGCACACCTTCACCGCAGCCTGAGAGGGACCCTGGGCCATAGTCCCTGGCTCCCGGAGAGCCCTTCCAGAGTGGGTCCCTCAGAACCCTGGGGCATGAGGAGCACCAGGTGGGGAAGGACCAAAACGTGGGGTCACCTGTTACCCAGCAGTCAGAACTGGTGCCCAGCATCCAGGGGGCAAGACGCGGTGTGGGCCAGAAGGAAACAAACGGACAAGAATCCCCAGAAGCCATCAGGAAAGCCTGGAGCTTCAGATGACACGAAAACTAAAATCCCCTATCTGACCAAGCACAACCCACAAACCACACAGTCAAGAGACAAGTGATAACATGGGGAAAAAAATAGTAGCAAAAGGTGACTAAGGGCTCCCGTCGGTCACACACACACACACAGAGCCAGACACACGAGTGGACAAGGCAGCATGCAAGGACAAGGGAGCCAAAGGGGGTGGAGGAGAGGAAGGGAGAGGGAGGGAAGTATCTTCTCCACCAGGATGCAATCCCCTCGGGGCAAAGACACCCAGCAGGGTTGCCAGAGCCGCCGCGGAGACAGGAAGTCAGGCCAGGCCTTGGAGCCTAGCCAAGAGGAACCAGAACAGACGGGCCAAACCCAGCGGCCAGCTCCCAGGTGGGTGGTGGCCCTGGGGGGAGCCGCCTGGGCAGCATCACCAGCAGCTGGGAACCCTCCAGTCTCGGGAAGGATGGTGGGCAACGCGGGGCTTTCCCGGAAACCCTGGGCGGGGCCCCGAAGTCCCGTGGGTGCCGGAACCGGCCCTGCGGGTGTTCTGAGGAACCCTCTCGCGGGAAGACCGGCCAGAGGGATGGCTCCGTCGAGGGAAGCCACCACCTTTTCTGCGGGGCTCGCCTTCCCCACCTCCCCGAGGAGCCAGTCTGGCGGGAAGCGCCCCAGCCCACAGCCGCCCGCAGCAGAGCAGGATTCCCTCCCCGGCGGCCACGGCTATCAAGGGACAGGGAAGTCTTTATTACCCCTCTGCGCCACCCGCGGAATGGTGCACAGACACCTCCAGACGCCACCTCCCTTAGGACGCCTGACTGGGCCCGCTCTGCCCACCTTTCCCTGGACATTGCGTGGTGGGCGGGTGGAGTCGGCCCTGCTTTCCCACAACCCCCCAGACGCGCCCCGAGGCGCCTTCCAAGCAGGGGAGTGGGAAGGGCGGGGCGGCCCGTCTGCGGCGCCCAGGCGAGAGCGGCTCACGGGGTTTCCCAGGCCCTGACCTCGGGGGACGCCTGTCCGCCAAGTCCCCGGGGGACAGTGACCACCTGCCTGCACCGGAAAGGGACTCGGCGCTTGCCCCGCGGGGCCCGCCCGAGGACCCACAGGTGCGGATGGCCGGGCCAAGGCGGGAGCGGGGCGGGGCGGGGCGGGGCGGGGCGGGGCAGCCTCTGCCTCCGCCCGCCGGAGCTCACAGCTGCCTTGCTCGCCGCCTCCGCATCCGTCGCTCCTCTCAGCCTCCAGGTGCCCACCGGAAGCTCCTCCCCACCCCGCCTATCCGGCCTCCTCTTAGCCTGTCGTCGCCAATGACCATGCCCAGATTGAACGGAATTTCCGCCCCTCGCCCTTGAGGGACGCCCCTGCTTCCCAATGGTGCACGCGGGAGGGCGCAGCCGTGGGCATTTCCGCGCTTGCGCAGTTTTCTGTCCCCGGCACCGGCCCCTCCCTCCCGTGGGCCCGCGGTAGGCACGCCCCCTCCCTCCCGCGGTGCAGCGCAGCCAGCGCTCTGCTCCAGGACTCATCGAGTTGGTCACCACGGAGCTTTATCTCCATGGAGCCACGCGCTGTCCTCCGCTGTGGTGGGCCGAGTCGCCTCCGCCTCCCGCTCGCGAGATCCATCCCAGCCCTTGGGGCGGGGCCCGTTGTTCTTACCGCTCATGGCCAGGGAATGGTCCACGCTCATGGAGCAGCAGGCTGAGCCTTTACCTCATGAGGGACAAGGTTGCCGCTTCCCGTGGCTGGTGGCCCTTACGGAGGAGCCAGCTGGGAGCACGCACGTGCAGGGTTTCCTGTCATCGGTTGCCACGCCGTCTTGAACGCTCGAGTCCACGCAGAAGTGAATGTCTAGCTTTATTTGTATTTGTATTTGCAATGGGTTTTTTTGAGGCAGGGTCTCACTCTGTCTTCCAGGCTGGAGTGCAGTGGCACGATGCGGGCTCACTACAGCCTTGAACTCCCCACCCCAGCGATGGCCTCCACCTCTAGCCTCAGCCCTCCAAGTAGCTGGGACTACAGGCACACACCACCACCACGTCCGGCTAACTTTTAAAGTTTTTGTAGAGATGGGGTCTCGCTTTGTCGCCGAAGCTGGTCTGGAATTCCCGGGCTCAGGTGATACACCCCAGCCTCCCAAAGTGCTGGGATTCCAGGCACCCGCTATCGCCGCGTAGGGCCTTGTGTAGTCTCAATAAAAACACCAGACTCTTCAGGCAAATCACTGAAGGGTTTCTGAGGCCTGGCTCGGTAGCTCACGCCTATAATCCCAGCACTTTGGGAGGCCGAGGTGGGTGGATCTTTGGAGGTCAGTACGACACCAGCCTGACCAACAAAGTGAAACCCCGCCTCTAATAAAAATACAAAATTAGCTGGGGATGGTGGTGCACGCACCGGTAATCCCAACTACTCAAGAGGCTGAGGCAGGAGAATCACTTGAACCCAGGAGGGAGAGGCTGCAGTGAGCTGAGATGGCTCCACTGCACTCCAGCCTGGGTGACGGAACACGACTCTGTCTCACCAAAAACACACAAAAAAGGTTTTTTGAAGCAAGTTGTCCCATGTATAAAAAAGTTTAGTTATTTACTCTATTTTTCTGTGCAATCACCCACATAGTTACAGAGTTTAAGACCCCTTATGCTACACATTTTGTAGTGGCTTTCCTATTTTTTTTTTAGCTTTTTTATAATTTCAACTTTTTATTTTGTTTTTGAGATAGAGTCTCACTCTGTTGCCCAGGCTGCTGTGCAGTGGCACCATCTCGGCTCACTGCAACAACCTCTGCCTCCCAGGCTCAAGGGATCCTCCCACCTCAGCCTCCCTAGTAGCTGGGACTACAGGTGTGTGCCACCACACTTGGCTAATTTTTCTATTTGTAGTAGAGGTGGGGTTTCACCATGTTGGTCAGGCTGATCTGGAACTCCTGGCCTCAAGTGATGCGCCTGCCTCAGCCTCCCAAAGTGCTGGGATTGCAGGTATGAGCCACCATGTACAGCCTATAAATTAGACTTTTTTTTTTTGAGACAGAGTCTTGCTCTGTCACCCAGGCTGGAATGCAGTGGCGCAATCTCGGCTCACTGCAACCTCCACCTCCCGGGTTAAAGAAATTCTCTGCTTCAGCCTCCCAAGTAGCTGGGATTACAGGTGCCTGCCACCACGCCTGGCTAATTTTTGTATTTTTATTAGAGACGTGGTTTCACCATCTTGGCCAGGCTGGTCTCAAACTCCTGATGTCATGATCCACTCACCTCGGCCTCCCAAAGTGCTGGGATTACAGGCATGAACCACTGTGCCCAGATTTTTTTTTTTTTTTTGAGACGAAGTCTCGCTCTTGTCCCCCAGGCTGGAGTGCAATGGCATGATCTCAGCTCACCGCAACCTCTGCATCCCAGGTTCAAGCAGTTCTCCTGCCTCAGCCTCCCGAGTAGCTGGGATTACAGGCACGTGCCACCACATCAAGCTAATTTTTTTTGTGTTGTCAGTAGAGATGTGGTTTCTCCATGTTGGTCTTGAACTCCTGACCTCAGGTGATCCGCCTACCTTGGCCTCCCAAAGTGCTGAGATTACAAGCGTGAGCCACAGTGCCCAGCCTGATGTACTTTTATTTAAACAACAACAAAAAAATTTTTTGAGCAGAGTTTTGCTCTTGTTGCCCAGGCTGGATGGAGTGCAATGGCACAATCTCAGCTCACTGTAATCTCTGCCGAGATTCAAGGGATTCGAGGTTCAAGGGATTCTCCTGCCTTAGCCTCATGAGTAGCTGGGATTACAGGAGTGCACCACTGCACCTGGCCCTGATTTGATGTACTTTTAAAGCATTATTATTCCTATTTTTCATTTACTATGAACACAGCCTTGA